AGAGCGTAACCTCCGTGAACCCGAAACCCGACTCAGGTCGCCCTTCGGGCGACCATCACCCAAAACCCGAAGAGTGGACTGTGTGAGAGCTGAGGGGTTTCCTTAGGGGAAAAACGGAACTCCCTTGGACAGTGCCGAACCCCCTTAGAAAAACGCAGAGGGCGAGCGAAAACGATTCCTTAGAATTCTTACACTCTCCTTAGAAAAATGATATAGATCTACGGAATAGCCGTATCCTGTTGTCGCAAAAGCTTAATCGCGACATTCTTACGTACTAACGATGTTGATTCAAGACAGTCGCAGATATGGGAGTGTTCGGTCACAAATGTACCTGTATGTGCTTCTCCCAATTTCGCAGTTGGACGGGACATTCCTTGTGTTCCCTACAAGGCTAGCATCGCTAGTCCGCCGCACATAAACCCCAATTTTATAGCTTTTACATGTAAAGTAGAGTGCCCGAGTAGCTTACTTGTTATTTGCATGGTCAGGACCTGGGCAGAGTGCCGAAGTACACTCCCTAGGGGAATCCTCTACTTTGACGTCGGGGGCAAAGCAAACACTCTGCCATTTACGTGGCGCAGTTCTATGTTGTTCAAACTCTCACTGACTGACTATCCAATCCTTGTAATACAGACTGGTGTTCAGTAGAGGAAGAGAATGAAATTTGACGTTGTAATTTATCGGTTGTTTATCATGTAAATATGTGCATTAACATTGTTTCAGTAGACAATGTGCCAGGGTTGATAGTGCTAAACATGGGGGGGGGATCGGATACGATGTTATGCAGTGATTTTAACACCAATTTTGATCGAAATGTTAATGGGTTTAGCAGAGCAGCAGGATTGTACGATTCCCATAAGTCGCGGCGTTGTAGATGTGGATGTCGCCCAATACGCGCGGTCCCGACTACGGCATGGTGGCAAAAAGACACACCGATGCGGTCGCGATCCTCATGGTTGCCCTCAGGGCTCTTCACGGAAGTTGAGGTCATCTTCACGTTGTGAAGGAGTTGTAGATACTCATACTAGGACGTACACGTCCACAGTGCCTGGTCAAGAAGTCCCTTGGTCTGGCGTCCAATGTCAACAACAAATTGATAGGTCAATAGTTTGGGCTCCTACTGTGCCGGCTACTTGCAGTCTATTATGGCAGTATCGGCAGCAGCCAGGCGTATTATCGTGGCCGTATATGCTCATCGGTCCACACAACCATCATTCACTGACCTATCCTTTTGGGACTACTACGTGCTGTGGTCGGTTCCATCCTACTCATCATCATTCGTATGAAGGCCTACAAGGAAGTGGCGACCTTTTTGTTCCCGATGATGTCGTCTATATTGGCCGTCTGCCACACTGTGAGTCTTTTGTTCCTTCTCTAAGTGATGATGAGAAGCATGATAAGGCAGAAGGGAGTTCATATGGTCAGATGTACACTCCTGATGCTGGTAATAAGGTCTTGCCTAATATACCGACAAGCATCCTCATTATATTGCATCTAGGTGCTGGGATAACATGCAATGATGTTTCATTGGA